TTGGTTGCTTCCGGTGATGCAGCACTGCGAGATGCGGTTGAGTGGGCCTGTCAGTGGAATGCACGCTAGCCGCCCTTTGGCTGACGTCTAACTCTCTCAGCCCTGTGCAACCAAGCCTCGCTCAGACATGGAACTTTAGGTATGATTGGCCCCAACAAGCGATTGAAGATGGCGAGGGCCATAATTTAATGATGACTGTGACCAGGTTCGGAATCAGACGCTCGGTTAGAATCGACAGCGGTAAACCGTGCCGTCTGGCCTAGAGCGACACCTTGAGATGGAAAGATGGATCAATCTCCAATAGGACTCGATCTCCAATGGCCTCACGATTTAACACGGCGAAGCACTCAGTCGCTGCCGTCTGAGGGACCAAGTACACTGATTGATGGATCGCGATCACTGAAGTCCACTACCTGCTAGCGGGCACAGAAACCCCACTTGTCACTGACGGCAGTCGCCGAATCATACGACAGAAGACTAAGACTAACAAATCGGCCGTTTTCGTGCTAGTTCCCAGAGTCTCGCAATGTCAATGTGCGTACTGAAAAATCCCAATACCATGATACTACCGTACATGAAGCTAAAAAGTATGGTGTTCATTGGTGGTATCCATATCTGCCTTGGCTATGTCGGTACCAGACGCTCAGCACCCCTGTTTCTCTACGCCGTCTTTTAAGCGCTCTGGTCTTTTCGCGATGCGCCTATGAAGATGGACGAGGCGTCTCTTGAAGGTTCCCCGCGGAAGCCGAGGTTCCTATCAGTACATCTGTCTCGCAGTAGGAAACGCTTAGCGATGTACCCCACATCACAACTGATCCGAACCACGGTTCGCAGGCGTGGCACGGATTAACCGTCGATGGTTGGGCCTAGATTTCACGTCGGCGTAAGACTCCATCCATCCCCACCCGCGCCGTCCGATCATGCTCCTCACTGAACTCTGTTCCCCGGCGATGCCTGAGCATCTTTCGACCAGTTGGATGACGAGCCATACGCACGTACCCAACCATAAAATGCGCCGCGTGTGCCGCATCCCCAGGCGTCTATGCCTATTCAACGGTCGGACAAGACGACTGAGCCGGCTGGTGCTAGCTAGAGCTTGTGAAGATTGGACTAACCAAGCGGTTGCGATGGGGAGCCAAGCTTACACGAAGTCTTCGCTTTTCGCTCTGCTGATATCTCTCACTGCTGAGAGCTTGATGTGATGAAAATTTCTCTTGGAGCGTTGGAACTCGCGGAAGCCTGCGACGCTGCATGTAGCTTCTCAATCCAGCAAGCGCGATGATACATTTCAGCGTCCAAGTACCACATAGGGTTTTAATGCCTCACGCAGACACCTCCCACGTGACTAATCAGTCTAGTACGTCACTGTGTCACAGCTTCACATGGTAATGGAACCTCTGGGCACCACCTCAATCCGTCATCTTGAGAAGAGGCTCTTCTAGAGCGCCCTCAACGTCACGTCACAAGGCAAGAGAGAGAATTCAGACGCCGCGCCATCCGTTTACAACCTCAGGTCTAGGCGAGAGGACTGTAGCGGAAACACTTCTCCATCCAGATCCCGCACGTGATGATTTCTCGAGGTATGTGCCTGCCCCTGCCATAACCCTGTTGCTGTGCCTGCCAGACTTGACTTAACCGTGCATGCTCTCCAGTATTCTCGGACATGTTTGAGTTGCAATTGTTTCAGATGAAGCCAGACTTTGGCACTGATACTAGTGTTTCAAGGCGGCGCAGGTGATTGTGTATTTTGAGACATACAAAGATTCCATCGCGTTGGTTGCAGGAGACGTTCGCTTGCCTAGAAAGCTCTGTGGCGTCTGTGGAATGCAGTTTTCGTTGACGACCTTGGTCGTTTACAGGGGCACCTTGAGGAAGTCAAGAATAGCTAGAATAAAGTCTAAATTAAATTAAAGTGTTAAGAGGCAATGTAGCAAGTAGTTCCTCACTCAGGTATATAGCGCAAGTTAGAGCAAAAAGCTTACATTATCTGTATAAAGCGGTAAAGAGTGGCAAGACATAACAGTACTTGTAAACTGCAAAGCTTCCTATCCTTAAGAAAGAAACTGCAAAAAAGCACGATTGATTTCTCGCGACCTGTAAACTCAGCCAACTCAACTGGGGCTTGGTTTTCGGTTTTGGAGGCTGGAACAGTTGAGACTAGATATTCGCTCCATAAAGGTGATAGTAGGTGATTTGTCCCCCCACGGGTTTCGAACGAACGAGCAGGCGAAGTCGGGTGTGGATTGAAGTTTCCGTGTCTCTTTCCTCTCCGACAACTGCTGCAAGCGGGTTCTGTTGGCTGTGTCGAGAATGAAGTGTGTTATATATACGATAAATATACGAGAGTGCAAGTTTGGTTGTAGGTGGCCTGTGATGTTGTGTACGCGCTGGAGAGCGTGTGTGGGCTCATGCGCGGCTGCCTGGAGATGCGTGAGTCATTTTTGAGCATTGATTGTGCGTTGTCTGGAGGGAGTTGAGATGGTTTTGTTGCCGATGGGGGATTGAGGGATGACTCGGCCACGTGGTGAAGATCGGGCCTTGTTTAGGGCAGTCAGAGTTCCCCTCAGAGGCATCGCAAGTTGCGCGACAGTATAATCGTACGTTTATTTCTGATGCCCGATGCCGATGAACTGAATTCGGAGGTGTCACAAATGTGCAAGCGACCTCCTTGTTTTGGAGAACGAGAATAGACAATGCGGTGACCAGACAAGGTCAAAGGTTCCCGTATAGTCTTTGAGACAATCTTTTACGTGAACACCCTTTATGCATTTGCTGATCAGGCCGGATGAGTAGAGGATACTCTTTCGAACGCCTCGATCCGATGAGACAACGTCAATGAAGCGATGAAGTGGGCAAGCAGAAAAGACAGCAACAAAATATGACATCAGGGGTTCGCCAATAAAGCTGCATTAGGTGCGGATTTTCAACTGAATAAGAAGCAGCAGTTTAGTCTTTTGTTCATAGGAACGAATATACTAAACAAGTAAACGCCGATGACATTCAAAGACAATTTCAACACATGTCCACTATTCAAAGTCATCCATCCACTGAAACACGCTCGGCACTACTTCTCTGCGGAACACGTGGAAATGACTCTTTGATTGCCGCTACCGTTCCTGGACGATTGGATCGAAGTTTTGCAGAGGGTCTATTCCACGTGGCTACTAGCTTTTGAGACTTGAACGAAGAAGCAGAAACATTATTGCATTTCGCCAGTACGCAAAGAAATGGGTTGATGTCCGTATTGAGAGTAAGATTTCAGGAGGCAATCTCGCTTGGAGAACTTGACAAAGCTTTAAGAGTCGTCATTATCATCTTCAAGCCTGGAAAATCATATGTTTACAATATTGAAGAAGAGTGAGTGACGACGGTTACGGAATATAGCTTCCAAGACTAACTTGATGAGTCAGTATCAGAAAAGTCTCTTGAAGAAGTAGTGAAGACTTCAAGGACTTAACATCAAAAAGACATTAGATCTTATTTGGTATCACATTGTTCGAAGAAGGCCTACAAACAGACTCAGCGCACGAGTGAAGTTATCAGAGCATCTGAAGGACAAAGAGACCCTCAAGACCACTAGTCCAGACCATCAAGCAATGCGAGACAGACGAATAAATTCCGATACGCCAGCTAGAGTTCATACTCAAACCATCCACCGCAAAAACTCTACAGACCGCCCACCACAAGGAAAAGTGTCCCAGCGGCGATTTGATCAAAACGCTTTCGAAGACCTTCTTAACCAGGAACGCGAGAAGCGAATAGACGTCGAAATGAAATACCAGGAACTCAAAAAGAGCACCGAGATCACCTCAAGGCCAGACCTGGAAAAGTTGAACAGGGAGCTTCAAAGCGATCTCGACAAGTCTCAAAACGAAAATACTACTCTCCGCGAGCAGATTCTGTACAGCCAAGCAAGCATCACGCACTGGCAGAGTGAATTTCACGGCGTTCAGGCCGAGCGCGAAGTGCAAATCACTGCCTTCGAGGACGCAATCAAACAACAGCAGAACGAAATGCTGTGCTACATCAAGGAGTACCACGATAAGACCCGCGACCCAGAGCACTGGAAAATCGACGGGCTGCAGAAGAAAGTCAAAGCACTGGAGCGCGAGCTGCAACTCGCGAGCGAGAAACACGAACAAGTCAAGAGAGAAAAGGCGCGCGCTGATGACGATATCAGGAGATTAAAGCTCGCGAACGAGATGAGCGGGAAGTACATCGAGAGACTTGGAAAGGCGTGGTTTGCAGGAGAGTGCTCGCCTCGACTTGGGCGCGCGGAATTGGCAGATCAAACGTCGCCATCCACTCCTCCATGGCTCAAGAATGTGAAGAAGCCGGACAATGAATCGCGGAGTCCACGGCCGATTCGCGTAGAGCAGATTGAGCAACGTGAAGGCATCATGGCGGGGTTTCGCAAGGAGCAACAGCGAAGGAAAGGCGAGCAGAGTGCGGTGAATGAGATTGTGGAGGTCATTTCGCGCTCAAATCTAGGCTCTGAGGAGTTGGGGGAAGGGGTCTCAGAGGAATCAGCTAGAGTGGCGGTGGTGCAGCGCTGGCATGGGGAGGATTGTGTTTCGCTGGAGGTAACGACAAGGGAGAAGATGATTTTAGATGGGTTAAGACGACGAGGATTGGCACTGTGAAGGTTGACTAATAGTGGTTCGTTCGATAGTTTGTTATATTATGCCTGATAATTCAGCAATAAACTGTACTTTTCAGCTTCGCTTTAGATAGGCACTCGTCCCATTCCCGCTTTCACGATCAAGTCATCAGGCGCAACTGCATCCAGTCTACTCATTTGACCAGCGCCTCAAAAGTGACATATTGGAACTGGTTAGCTCCACAAAAACAATGAATATACCAGTTGTGTAGGCCAAATGAGCAGGAGAATTCATAGTATGACGTTTTTCTGTCCCTGCGGTTGTAAGAGTGGCGTGAAGACACTTAATGCTAGAAAATTAGCAAAAAAAAGGTGTGAACGCAAAAAAAGAAACATTCAAGGGTCTTGCCGCGACTCGAACGCGGGGCCTCTCGCAAATGTGCTCGGGAAAATCCCTAAGCGAGAATCATACCACTAGACCACAAGACCTTGGTGTTGCTTATAGAATTTTTGGGACATAAACAAAATATGTAGTTAACAAACAAAGTTGACGATGAATTGACGCTAGTCATCGAGGCCGCCAAGAGCTCGGAGTAGCCCCTGCTAATTACCCAATCTACTTTTCTAAACGAAGGATTCCTCAAACTCTCCTTCTCCATCGGACTAGCGCGCCACGTGGGCCAAAGCTTTCCACCGTCCACGACGCCTCCTCTGGTACCATCAGCGTCGAAATTCCAACCACCCTTCACTTTTTCTCGCTCAAAATTCTCTTCTGGTTGCTCAATCAACATGCAGCTCCGCTGGCCTTACCCACCAAAACCCGAGACTGGAGCTTGGGGCCCAGTGACGTCGAATCACAAGTAAGTTGGACGATCGATCGTGGTACCTGCATCAGGAAAGACTTGGCTGACTCCACATAGCTTCTGCGAGGAGGTATGCGCAACATAGTATTCGATATCTGTTAAACGTACTTACGGCTCTTGAGGACTATAATATCACAGGCTACATTGCCGAGTTTGTCAATACGCTCACAAATGCAACATACGGTATGCCTCATTCGCTATTATCCACTTCTTCATCACCAGCACTCATGCTCTCTTCCCAGTGATCTACGGCCTCCATGGAATCCGCAGAATATGCTTCAAGCAGAATAAAAGTCTCTTCTCCGCGCTGACATTCTCCTACTGGGGTCTCATCGGCGTGGGCTTGCTGTCAGGCTGGTTCCACTCGACGTTGAAGTACCACAGCCAGATGGGCGACGACCTGAGCATGTTCCTCGCCGTCGGCGCAATCCTGCACCAACTCCTCTGCTTCCAGGCTACGCCTGCCCAGCAGCGAAACTACACGCTTGCGATCCTTGGCACCGTGATCCCAATCTCCGTCTACCACTGCTGGGCCGATGAGATCTACGTCCACGAAATCACTTTTGCTTTCATGATCTTCCTAGTCTCGCGGCACACGCGTGCGCTCATCAAGAAGCAGGTGAAGAACGAGGATAGCAGAAAGAAGCTGGGTAAGATGGCTACTTTTGGCATCTCGACCGGACTGTTTGGGTACTTTCTCTGGAACATCGATTTCCACCTCTGCAATCATGTCACGGCTTTCAAGCACTACGTTGGCCTTCCGTGGGGCTTTGTATTCGAGCTGCACGGCTGGTGGCATATCTTGACAGGTATTGGTGCGTATGTTGGGATGGCGCTGGTCGAGTATCTCGTCACGATTGAGGAGGGAACCACAGGAAGGTTGGAGGAAGGATTTGTGTGGCCCGTCAAGGCTGTTCTGAGGGACCTGGATGGCCTAGAGAGGGCACACGTCAAGAAGGAAGAATGAGGTTGCATTGAATGACCACGAGATTCATGCATGGTGATGTGTAATGGTACAATGTATTATATAATGGTCGAGCAGAGATTCGGAGCCTCCAGATATGAATCAGCCTGGGCTTGTGGTGGATTCAGACTCCCCAGGACAGATATGCCATAAGCGTTTCTTTCGCTAGATCAAAATTCTGCATCGGTCGCTCTCCAAAACATCATAGCCGTACATGGACATTAGCAATCGACATTGGCTGTACATGGCCGTCGGACAAATCCCGCAAGGCCTGCAACAAGGGGAAGCACTCGACCAGGACCAACATACGTAATAATACCAAATCTGCAGGACGTAAAGCAGTTTACCACAACCACCCTGCAATATTTCCAGAAACAGAGAACAAACTCACCGAGATGCCGCCATCTGCATGTTAACTCCATAGTCGGCATCTCGGCTCTTCGCTCTGATTGGTCGATGCGGAGTTAGCGATCAGTCTCCGATGGTTGGAGCGCAACACATACACTGCGTTTCGGGCCCGAGAATCGTTGCCATTGGATATAAGTTGCGATTTGGAGAGAGTGTAAGTAGACAGACAGACATTTCGAGCAGCACATCCACAAGCACCAGTTGTTTACAGTGTTTGAACAGAGATTGACATCATCATTTTCGCAATTTTATCGATTTACCCCACCTACCCCAATTCTTCAACGACTTTCAGCTCAAGCACACGATCAAAATGCCAAAGCTCGTAGGAAAGGATGTCGGCGAGGTAGGCTTCGGCCTCATGGGTGAGCCATACAGTATCTCTTCCATAAGCACCTACCTTGCTGACTACTCATAGGCATGACATGGCGTCCAGACCCACCGCCTCAAGAACAGAGCATTGAAACTATGCGCACGGCTCTGTCCTTGGGTTCAAACAATTGGAACGGCGGCGAGATCTATGGGCCTCCAGACGCAAACTCGTTGCAGCTACTAAACGCTTACTTCACCAAGTATCCCGAGGACGCCGACAAAGTCGTCATATCCATCAAAGGTGGTGTTGTGCCTGGCAAAATGCTCCCTGATGGCAGCAAAGCCGGGATACAGCGCAGCATTGATCGATGCCTCGAAGTTCTTGACGGAAAGAAATTCCTCGATCTGTTTGAATGTGCCAGGGTTGATCCAAAGACGCCCATCGAGGATACGATCAGCTACATCGCCGAATATGTCAAGCAAGGCAAGTTGGGTGGCATCAGCTTGTCCGAGGTTGGCCCAGAGACGATCCGCAAAGCTCACAAGGTGCATCCGATTGCGGCGGTTGAAGTCGAACTCTCTTTGTGGTCGACCGACATTCTCGAGAATGGCATTGCCGCGACATGCGGAGAGCTTGGAATTCCAATCATCGCCTACTCACCTCTGGGACGAGGGTTCCTTGTAAGTATTAAGAACTCGCTTCACGTCTGAATCTTGCGCTGATCGGATCTACTAGACTGGCAAATATCAAAAGCACTCCGATATTGAGGAAGGTTCCATGCTCCACCATATGCCACGCTTCCAGCCTGATGTCTTCGATGAGAACATCAAGCTTCTTCGCGAGGTAGAGAGCCTTGCCAAAGGAAAGGGCGCTACACCGGCACAGGTTGCGCTCGGTTGGGTTCTTGCTCACAGCGGTGCTAATGGTCTGCCAACTATTATCCCTATTCCTGGAGCTACGACATCCGCTAGGGTTGAGGAGAACGTAAAGCCAGCAAAGCTTAGTGCGGATGATATGAAGGCTCTCGATGAGATCCTGAAGAAGTTCCCTGTAGTCGGAGACCGATATGGAAAGGACCATCAAGCTATGTTGAACGGATGAGTATAATCAGGAGGTTGGGGTGCCTGCAAAGGATCCAATTAGCTAGGTTCTCCTTGAGTAGTAGCATTCAACTTGTATCATCAAAGCCAGATCAGATCAATTGTAGTGTATAGAGTACTCCGCATTCGATGTTGCCGTGAAGCTTGACCGTTGGAATTGCAGAACTCTTTGGTAATCATCATAATAGGAAGGAAATGAGGAAATGAATAGTAATATGCTTACCCTCTGCAGACCTCATGTGTTGGCAATTAGCCATTGTAGCGTTCTAAAGCCAGAGAATGACCTGTGAAGTGGAGAGAAGACGCAACGTGAGACAGTGAGCTTACTGAAAATATGCGGCGCGCGCTAGCGACGAGCAACGGGCGGCCCCTGCACCTCCGCGACCTCGAGCAACGCGCCTTCCCCGTCGACCTGCGCCTGCCTCGTCCGCGGAATCACCCCAGGCACACCTTCACCATGGAATCGCAGGGCTCCGACCTCTCTGACTACGCTTCCGACGACTTTCCAGAGGATGTCAAGGCCCGCCAACACAGCATGGAGCCCACCCCCGACCACGACATGGAGCGCCCCAGCAAACGTCCACGCCTGAATGTGCGCGCACCCTCGTCGCCTCCCGCCCATGTCAACGTCCTGCCGCCAGAAGACGACGGAGACATCTCAGAAGACACAGATGGCTCCGTTCCTGCATCGCCAAACCACCACCCCGGCATGTCGCAAGACGATGAGTTCGGCCAGGAGCAAGTGACGGTGTGCAAATGGGAAGGTTGTACCCATGGCGATCTCCAGAACATGGACAAGCTGGTAGAGCATCTGCACGACGACCATATCGGCACCAGGCAGAAGAAGTACAGTTGCGAATGGAGCGATTGCACGAGAAAAGGCATCCCGCATGCAAGTGGCTATGCGCTCAGGGCACATATGAGGAGCCATACAAGAGAGAAGCCCTTCTACTGCACATTGCCAGGTACGCTTCCCTCCTCGTTAGTCATTCGAACACGATCTAACCATTCATCCACCAGAATGCGACCGTTCATTTACTCGATCTGATGCACTTGCTAAGCACATGCGAACGGTCCACGAGACAGAAGCCCTTCGACCATCCGACCCCGTCCCCAAGCATCACTCTTCAAACCCCTCCAACAAGTTCCAACGCCTCAGACTCGTTCTAAACGAGGCCAAGAAGGGCTCCCAAGACAAAGGCTCCACACCAGCCTCTCCTTCCTCGCTATCCCACCCGCCGAACAGCGCATCAAATGCCCCAGCCGCGGGTTCGGATGCCGAATACGCGCACAACAATGTCATCTACTTGCAAGACGTTGCGAGCCCCGACGCGCCAATCATGGTGCAATTCCCACCAGACATTGACTTCACGCCCGACGAGCTTCGACTTCCCGCCCCAGACCTCTTCAAGCTACTCCGCCGCCAACTACAATGGGCGACGCACGACGGCGAAGAACTACGCGCCGAAGCCGAGCGCCTAGAAAAGCAGCGCAAAGAAGAATGGGAAGCCAAGGAACTGCTCGTCGAGAACCTGATGGAGGCACAAGCTACACATTTTGAGCGACGGCGCAGAGACGAGGGTCTCCCCGCCGAACTGGAAGGCCTGCCACTTGTGCAGGAAGACTTGCTGCCTTCGAGACAACTGAAGCTCGCCCCGCGGAATGGAAAGTTGCCGTGGTGGCGCGATGACTCGCAGCAGGGCTGGCAGACGGAGCCCTCGTCGATTAAAGAGGAAATGGCCTCTTTGAAACCACCGCCGATGGAGAGCAGCCAGGAACTGGCGACTTAGTTTGCGTTTCAGTCCTGTTAGTGCGATTTTCTTCTCGACTGCGACGAGATTCCA